CTTTAATAAATTACAAGAAAATCCTGCTGGTCTGAAGCAAAATAGAAATCAATGAAGGCTGACTGAAGACTTTTTCATAGTACTGCAGATGCAACAAGGTGCTTAGAAGCTTAGAAGCACTTGAAACCACATGAGAGCACAAGGCAGTTCTGGTGAGATTTGGTGATTATGGAAGTTATTTGTGTCAACAATACTCGGGTAGAAGGTGATGTTTAAATGAGCGGTAAATGTGTTCAAAAATATCTGCCACACTATTGCACTTGTGCCCACTCTAGCCTCAGTTTCCTGTTCTCAGCTGAAAACCTTCAGCTGCTGTGACTGGTCTGCTTCAAGGTTTCAACATGTGTTTTCAGAAATGCTCTTCTTTTCTTACCGTGGTTGAAATAAGCGGTTATTCAATGTCTTTTTATCAGTCCCAGACAACTGCCACTGCCAAACCATCAGTTTCTAAAAATCCTCAAACCTGATCATCCATTGCTAACAGTTATGCCATGTCAAAGTGATGTCATTCATTTTTCTTGTTCCGTATAACGCTTTGTTTGTACTTCAGTACATCCTCTAGACAACCTCAACATGTCAAAAAAACCAAAAAACCAAAACACAACTATCATAATAAAAGGGACTGTGTGTGTATGCGTTTACCTGAGCAGGGCAGACAGCCTCACAAAGCTTACAGGCAATGCAGCGCTCCTCTCCGTTAGGATAGCGGCGGAGGGCGTGCTCCCCACGAAAGCGGGGCGACAGAGGACCCTTCTCAAATGGGTAGTTGATGGTGGCAGGTTCACGGAACAGATAACTCATGGTCATTGCCAAACCTGCGTGAAGGCAAAGAATAAAATAAATAAATAAATAAATAATAATTAAAAAAACTTAAAGGGCCCACTGTCCCTGAAACACATTGATTTGCAAGATTTGAGTTAGTTGAAAAGAGGCCAATTACTCACCTGTACTGAGGAATGTACTGTTTAAAGGCGTATGAAGCCTGAGTTTTTGACTCATATGAATAAGATGGATGTATACTGACTTCATTAACTTAATTTCTGACCATGATTAATAACAGTAGATAAACAAATCAGACACTTTATATAGATACACTTTGGTAGAACTGGGTTGGACCCCCTTCTGCCATCAGAATTGCTGTAATTCTATGCACATAGATTCAACAAGGTGCTGGAGCCTTTCCTCTCAGATTTTGGTCCATATAGACATGATAGCATCACACAGTTGCTGCAGGTTTGTCAGCTGCACATTCACATTGTGAATCTCCTGATGGATCACATCCCAAATTTGCTGTTAAACTGACATCTCGTGACTGCGGAGGTCATTTAGGTGCTGGTTTAGTGAACATTGTTGCATTCAAGAAACCAGTTTGAGATGATTTGAGCTTTGTGACATGGAGCATTACAGGCTACAAATCTAGGCTATCAGCACAGAAAACACAATCAACGGGACCTCTAAAGAGCTCGGTCCAAAGCAGGGTTGTGGCAGCCCGGTCAGTGATGGATCTCATGTCTGTTGGCAGCTCCTGAGCATTTACATACTCTGACAGAAGAATAAAAGGAGAGAGGAGTAAGAGAGTAAATACAAATTTGGCATGCTGATGTGGTCACTGCACTGAAGATTCATATAAATGTACAGCTCTTGGTGTGTTTACTCACTGTAGCCGTCTCTCTGCACACTGAGACTCAGCGGGCGAATTGCGCCGCAGCCATATCCAAATGTACCTGGAGAGATATGCACGTGTGATCTGAACATTTTGTGCACTTAAATATTACTGTGTTAATGACACCTGCATTAGTACCTTGTTTGGAGTAGCAGTGGAGAAGACGTAGACTCAGTGCTGCAGACATCTGAGCAGAGAAAGCTAAGAGTAAAGACTAGTTAGAAGAATGAAGATTCTCAGAGTAAACGTGAAAAAAGAAATTAGCAACTGCACAATACCCAAGAGCTGCATCTGAGCCTCTACAGGCCTCAGATAGCATGTTAAATGTTAAAGTTCATGACAGTATAATTAGAAAAAGACTGAACAACTGTGGCTTGTTTGTAGTGGCCACTAGGAGGAAGCTTCTTCTCTAAAAAGAACACGACGACATGGTTGAAGTTGGTAAAGCTGCCCTTAAAGAAGACTTCTGGAGCACAGTCTTTTTAACAGATGAGACCAAAGTGGAGGTTTGGCCATATTGCACAGCACTACCTTCAGCAAAACTCAAACACAGCACAAACACTTCAAACCAACTGTTCAATCATGCTGGTCCAAGGTTGGTGATTTGAGCTTGTTTTGCAGCCACGAGAGATAGACACCTTGCAGGTGACAAACTCCTCCGTATGCCAGAGTTTTGTAGAGTGAAATGTGAGGCCATCTGTCCGACACCTAAAGCTTCTCCTAAATTAGGCCATGCAACAGGATAATGACCCCAAGCACAGCAGCAAATCTACAGCATGGAAGTCCAGACCTCAACCTGACTGAAATGCTGTGCATAAAGGAATGCTTGCTAATGCCAGTGAATTGAAGCAGCTGAAGTTACTGCTGCTAACTACTGGCTCTGTAAACTACTCATAGAATGATTGTGATGTTGAACTAAAACAAATGCCTGAATCCTACATTATGGATATCCTACTGTGGTGATCTGAATTGTGATCTAAAATCAGAGTTTTTTCTTTTGTATATTTTATTTTATGTCCAGGAGTTAATATATGCTAAAGAGTATACATTTTCATTATGTACATTTATGTACTGTCGCATACTAAGTGCAATTACATAGTTATTGCCTAAGACTATTGTTGTTGAATGAAAAACTCAAAGAAGGTTTCAGCAGTGGATCTGTGTGAAATCAGCAACTTGCAAAAATAAATCAAAATGGGGGTTAGTGATTCTGAGAAAAGCAATCGCAACAAAGTTCAACATTTAACCATCTGAGCAGCTTTACTAATGAAATTATATCAGACTTCAGAATTTATATGCAGTGAGATTTACTGATCAATGATCAAAGGGGAGATTTATGTCATTTATGCCAAATGTATTCTGGGATTTGGATCCAACAAGTAAAGTATGCATATTATGCACACACACAAGCACACATGCAGCTATTACCCATTTCTTGTTTTTATACTTATTTTATACCTATATTTTTTACACTTGTTTTTATACTTTTTTTTTTTCCAGAACTTCATCAAGCATTACTTGTTTTGTTGTGTTTCTCAATGTTCTGAAGCTTGCAATCCATTTCTTTCTGTTTTATCTCCTTTAACCTTTTCTCTTGAAGAAACTCTACATTTGTGTGCAGTCTCTTATCACGCCTTGCTTTTAGCACTCTGTATTTTATCTCCATGTCTTGGAGTTTGCATTGCATCTCTCTCTGTTTTATGCCCTGTTGTTTCTTCTCTTGGAGGATTTCTTTTTTTTCCCAGAGCTTCATCAGGCTTTACTTGCATCTGCTGATTCTTTTTGTCTGTTTCTTGGAGATCCCATTCTTTTCCCTCAATAATACCTCCCTTTTCTTGAAGCTGGTAGGTCTTTTTTTTTCTTTTCTTTTTTTTTTTTTTTTAATTGGGCGCTCTTTTTCTCATTTTCTTGCATCAGGAACATAATTTTCAGGTTACTGCAAAAACACTCCCTTTTCACCTGACTGTAAAGGGTTCGCTCAGTGGAGCCAATATTGCAGCAAATGTTTTTATAAATCGTATTAACCCAGAAAAGCTTCTCTACAACAAGAGAGGAGTGAAAAAGGGAGACAGACTGCCAGCTGATCCCAGTCATCCTGTAATCTGGCGCCCAAATCCCAACTATTACGTTAGCGATTTGCTACGTTCACGGGACGCTGTTTGAATCGGAAGAAATGCACTCTCGGATTATCCCTCGATTATTGACCAGTATTCGCCGTGTAAAATCGTAAAATAAACAGGAAAGTCGATCAGCTGAAAAACCTATAAGCAGGGACATTACATAAAGACCTTAGTATTTCTTAACATGTAAAACCAGAGAGAAATCAGTCGATTGCTTTACTGTATCGGTGCTAGTATAAAAATACTTATACGATCAAAAAACAATCCACCACAGAGGTTTAATCTGAACTACCTGTGTTTTTCGGACCCATGAATGACCAGCTGTCCTGACCAATGACAGGATAATGTCTTTAACCCTGTCGCTGGTTCCAACCTACAGTCTACACGATTCACCTGAACGCCTCCTTTCAAATAGTATAACAGTTAGCAAAATTAGGCTCTGGTACACTAATGCTGCCAAGCTAATTTCTTTAATTAAGCTTTATTTTAGTTTTTATATATTTCCGTTCAGATGAAAAATGTTTTAATGCGCTAAGCATTCCTCATAAAGGTAAACTCATCGGTCAGCAACTTTGCAACCATGTTAGCCAGTTAATTTACGGTTATCTAATATAATGGAGCTAACATGACAAAAGGATGAACATAGCCTATTCTCAATGCTAGCTAATTTGCGTCATTATTAATGTAAATCTCTTTTAGACTTACCACTGGCACAAGTTTATGATGATCAACACTAAGGAGGCAATAGTCCCTAAACTGTGCAATGCTATTAATGCTGCATTCAAGGCCTCCACGTTGATGTTGTATTCACTGTCACCTAGGAAATCACCACATTATTTTACCTGCCATTGAAAGTAACAAGTTATTTAATTTACCTGTCTTCCTAAAGTAAGCATAGGCCTTCTTCTTTTCCCCCCGCAATTAGGAAGTCCTATAAATGACAGAAAAGCCCCAATTGCACATTTATCACTTATATGTGATGACTGATGAATCACATTTAAGCAGTTTAACGGCATTTTCATGACAGTCAAAAAAAATAAACCACTCCATAATTTTATCGTCATTGTTTGTGACGCGGAAGTTTATGTGAAAACTGCATTTGTGACGGTGAGAAATGAAGGCGTGGTGAACAAATGAGAGCATATGAGAGAAAGCAAGAGAGAGAGAGAGAGAGAGAGGAAGTTTGTCTTCCTCTTCCATCACTGGAGGATCACTTCACCTCTTCAGCAGCCAACTAATCAAACAGGGCGGAAATGTAAAAGGTAGTCACATTTAAATGTATATTTTAAAAGCTTTAACAGCTGTGGTTATGTTTATGACTTAAAATCGGGGGCTGGGGGACTTGGTACACTTCTTTACTCTCATTCTCAACTTGGAAAATGCAGATTTCATAGATCCCGAGTCAAATAAGAGAGAGAGGGTGAAAACGTGCACAGAGACGTTTGCAGAGTGAGGTTAAGCTGTTTACCATCTTGGATGTTTGATATTTTAAACATCTCTGACGCACACATCCTCATCGGTTGCATACTGGATGACGAGCCCATCCTCTTTTCTTTAGCTAAGATGTTGAATTCTTCGAGTCCAGCCCAGAAGAACCTCAGTGAAGAGGACAGCTCGGGATCTGAACCGGAGACAGACCGCTTTGGCTTCATCTTAACCAATGGGTCCACAGCTGGGTGAGCACATCCACCTTGAGCCTTGTGTACTCTTACTGTGCTGTTGGTGATTTGTTTAAAGCCAGGGATATGATCTCTAAGCTTTCATTCGCCTATTAAAGAGATTTTTTATTTTATTTTAAAGGACTAAAAGACGTGCAGGGCGAACTTGTCGAGATCACACAGATCAGATCAGAAAGCCCAGGGACTTTGGTAATAGTAAGGTTTGCACCTGCTGTCAGAAGATATAATTTGAAACTAAATATTAAATATTATCAGATAATTTAATGGTTGTTGCTTTGTCTTTATATGAGCAAAGACAAAGGTTCCAGATGAGCTAAGAGTTTCTAATGTGGGCACACAACACCCCCTGAAGCAGCACACAAAGTAATTTTCCTCCATGACAAGACCAGGAAGTGTTGAAGCAGTGTTTAAATCTGCCGATTTTAAGAGACAGAGGAGCATTTGC